TTTAAAATTTAAAGATCAGAGAAAACGATGAATTTTTAACAAAAGGTAATATTTCTACTTATGGATCATAAACACGGTCGTTAAGTTTGAAATCTGATTTCTAAATAGAAATTTCCATTTAGGAGCGATGTTCTAATCACGAATTTTTTCAGAATAATTAATGTCCTAATTAGAACCAGAATAATTCACTGCATGTCGTATCTCTCCGAGTACAATTAAACAAGTAGTAAAATAATATTACAATTGATTTTCACTACCCAGAAAAGATGTATGAATATTAACGGAGGAATTGTCTCTGATCCAAGCCTGCTGTACAATTATCCTTATACATTACGATAATTTTACACAATACTCGTACTATTTCGCACAAAGAGCGGTATCGTTTTCACTGAGCGTGAAAAAGTATCAGCGTGCAGGTTATTCAATGGTTTCGAGATACCATGCATGCGTCGTGTGACACGATGTATCATTTCATTATGTAACGAAAGAGCATTCCAAGCTATATAACGGAGCTATCTCGTTAATTATCGTAAAACACATCCGCTGCACACACGTCGGGGAATATTTACGAACTCTTTCGAACTTTGACGGTACGAAAAAAAAAGAAAAAAAAAGAGAGAGAAGTCGTCGCGCCGTGTGTCGTAATGTCGATTCGGCGCGATAGAATCGCGCGCTTCTTCGACAAGGCGCTATACGTATACGAAGGACGTCTTTATATTATTTTACAAGCCGCGCCATTAAACGTGACATGGCCCGTGACTGATAAGTGGCGCGGGTGGGCTTTTGACCCGATAATCGCGACGGCCCGATGACAGCCGTCGCGATTAATTATCGCCCGGGATACCGCGCCGGATGTTTAGACGTTTATAGGGCCTCGATTGCGAATCCCCGGCCGCGCTCAGCTCTCGCTTCTCACTCTCCTCTCCGTGTAAATTCCGAGAATAGGATTATAGCACGCGCGCGCGCGCCTCGGATTCGCGCGCGTATTGCGCGACCTCGCCGAGTCTCGTGCAGGCGATCGCCGCGCGATTTTTGCGACTCGCGAATTGAGTATGGCGAAGCGACACTTTTGACGTCGCATTCGTCGCGTGTCTCTGGTGCCTCTGTCAAATTGTAACGTTATTATACTGTTACGCGAGCGGGAAGTGTATTAATTCTTGACTCCATCAGCGCGTTTCAAGCATTCCGAAAAAAAAAAAAAAAAAAAAAATTTCCACTCCCGAAACGATCTCGGTTTCCTCGACGACGGCGGATTCCCGCGGACGATCGAATTTCGCCTGCCTGCAGGCTATCAGGAACGCGCGACACGAAGCGCGACATTGCACTTGCATAACTTCGCGATACGTTCGCGTTCCGCGTTTCCACACATCGCGACACGACATCGCGCGTCGTCGCGGCGTGGGACGGCACGGCGCGACGATGCGACTCGAAAACAGCCGCAATTCACGCGTGTGTGGCTCCTTAACGCCCGTCTCGCTTCGACTCTCCTTCCTTCCATTGAAATTCTTTAGCAGATCTGCGTACTAATGCCGGGCGTGTGTGCACGGTGTATATACGGTATGCAAACAGTGTGAGATGGAAGCGGCGCGGCGGAGTGGCTGGAAAACTTTAAATTGTCTTGCGTGAAGGAACTCTCGCGCGAGAGGATTTTTAACGTTGCCATAGTACAACCCTTTACATAAACGTAAAGTTCCTTACATACAACTATGTATGTTTCATGAGGATCCTTTAAAGAACTGTTTATTGAAAAGTTATTTTCTCCTGCAGAGGCAGAAGATTCTCAATTTGATTCCGCACAAAATGGAGATTCCGCACTGCGGAGAATTGATAATGGCTTTTTAAAGTTTTTGATGAAACTCTTATCATCGGGGATCGTTTTTAAGAGTAAACGATTTTAAATATTAATATTCTCTCAGAAGATTTTAAATTATATTGCTTCCTCAATTTTATTTCGAGAAATGTTTGTGTTACAATTCAATCAATTCGTGCTCAATCATACCAAATACGATTTTACTAAAAGCTACTGATCCATTTAATTTAAATCAAATAAACCAGCGCGTCTATCTTTTTAATAAAATGTCGTATGATTAAGCACGAATTGTAACACAAACATTTCTTGAAATAAAATTACAATAATTTTCTAAGTAATGTTCTAGTAATTATGAAAAATATTATCACTTACAATGCTATGATAATAATATCAATGACAAAAATATGGAAATACTTAAATTTTATTTATCCAACGATTCTAACTGTTCACTTAACGTTCATGCGATATAATTCGAGATGAAAGCCAATTTGTAAAAAAAAATGATCCAATTGTTGAAATCTGCGAACAAATGATCTAAGATGTTCTATCCGCGCGTCTTTGTCCTACGGCCTAACCTAGGCCAATAAATTTCGCTCGATTGCCAGAGACGCTCGGTCGTTTACCTCGTCCGCGGCGCCGTTTCCTCCTCCGGAGGAGAACGATGCACCGCCGCGCCGTGCGTCTAATTTTCATCCTTTTTTCTCCCCTTTGTCCCCCCCTTCTCTCCTCCCTTCTCCCGTCAGCGCCTCTCGTCGAGCTCGCTTAGAAGGAGGCGCTGACGACCGTCACGGAAATAGAAAGCGACGCTCAGACCCGACGTCGTCGACAAGTTCGTCCGCGTTGAACGCCGGTCCTCTTTGCACTTTCCTCTCCCGCGGGGAGACCCGTTCACTCCGCGGCGGCGACGACGATGACGGAGACGGAGACGGCGACGACCCAGTCACGGAATTAGGCGACGACCCCGCGGTCGTCGATCGCGCGGGGAACAGCCGGGGATGATCGTTAATTCTGGAGATTCGGCTTCCCCGGCTTTTGTTTCCGTCACCGGCCGGCGCGCGTCAACGCCGCGTATTTATACCTACACACACGCGGCCGGCGACATCCGTCAGATATTTGTCACTTGCCCTAACGCATGCACCGTTCCCATTCAACGTCCTCCCTCGCTCCCTCCCACGGGGACCTGTGTGTAATATAGGTGCACAGCTTGCGAGCTGAAGAATCAATCGCGTATAGTCATGTTTGCGCAAACGGTCGCGTCTCTGACGCGGCAACAAATTTATATGCAGTCACATGCACACGCGCGAGTTACAACGTAAGTCAAGATTAAGGAACTCGTATAATTGGTTTGTGTGTCGCCGCGCACTGCATCGCGGGACCTGATCGGCGTTTATCGGAGACACCGAGATTCCTGCAGAGGACTGTTTAATGCGTACTCTATAACGACCGTTAATTTGATGCTGCGGGATTTTATTTTAGCGTTTCGAGAGATAAGAGTCGCGGTGTTACGGCGCGACGTAATACGTCGTGTAATTAACGAGCGCGAGACGACGCGCGCTAATTACCATGAGCACTATTCCCGTCTCTCCGATCGCTTGACGAACGAGCCTTTAATAATCCGGTTCGCGCTTTCACGAGGGAGGACGACTTCTGCAATGCGCTCGCGATCGTTTCTCCTTAAGCAAGCGGAATGCTTCCGCCGTTGTGCGGTCACTCGTCACTCAACGTAAATCTTCGAGACGCGAGTTCGATCAACCTTCAGGCATCTCGTTGAGAGACGTCGAGACGCTCGCTAATTACGAGAAAAATCCTTCTCACTTTCCGATGACGAAAGAGTCGGAAGCCAGTCTTGAATGTCGTGGAGTCAGTTCGTTATTACCGAACCGCGAACGCGTAAAATAGACGGCTAAATAATCGCGCTTTTCTAAATAGAGCGACAGGTTCAGAAGAGTGAGACGGTGAATAGCGCGAGACGATGAATAGAATGTTGTATTCATAATAATATTTGAATATACAATGCATCTTGATCAATATTGCATGTACATGCATCATGGAAGAACGATTTTACTGGAAGGTCTAAAAATTACTCTGAATACATGAAACTGAAAATTATTTTGTTAGACCTTTTAATATACTTTGGAAATTCAAGCTAATAGAATATCAAAAGTCTAATCTAAACAATTGTTTTCAGATCGTCTTTAGCAAAATTTGTAGATCTTTCAATAAAATCGTTATTCTTTCTATATGCGTATAATATTACAATTTCCGTAATTTAATTATATTCTTATATCCTATAATGAATACATTTTTATCATTTTTATCATTATTTTTTTAAGAATTAATAAAACGTCTTAATTTCACAGACGCCTATACACTGAGAGAAAAGATATACTAATGGTAACAAAAACAGAAAATTATTCACAAAAGTCAAGTTTTATTCTAAAATTTTGTTAAAATAGCAAAATATATAATTAAATAAGCAAAATTTGGTATAATTTTTGATTTAACAACACAATTTTATTTGGTTACTCACATTTTGTACACAGTAATATAAAATTGGGTTGCAATTACAAAATAAGTTTTCTTTTAGTAAGTTCAACAAAATAATGTAATTATTTTGGTAATTTTATTCAATAAATTCAACGAATTAATATCGACGTGTTAGTTTAGTTGGTCACATATCAACACATAGTTTTGGTATCAGTAACAAAATTTTGGTTCATACTAAACTTTTCTCTCAGTGTACACTTATTGTTAGTTAGATACAGATCTGAAAATAATTTTGTTGTACCATCAAAATAATTATCTATACGACGTTCAAGCTGATTATTGGAATGTCAAAACTTTTTCAGCATTTCTGAGCTACATAATTATTTTGATGGTACAGATCTGAAAAAATTGTTTTTAGATTTGTATCTAAATACTTCAGCAAACACGCTCTTTCCGTAATATACTAATTTTCATGTTTTGGTTGATTCGGCATGATACGAAATTTAATTTTCTCTGTGTGTAACTTTAAAGAATGAACGGAAGAGATATGACTGTTATCATTTTTACTCATATAAGAGATTCAAATTTAAAGCACGAGTTTATACGCGGTATCTTTAACATTGTGAGAAGAATAAATTGGACCATGTACAAGAGCCGCGGAAAGTTTGCGGATTAGTGAAGGTCCTTTTCGAATCTGTTGCAGATCCTTGGAGATTTTTCACCAACACGGAAAGACGCATTCGGAGCTTCTGAAAGCCCAACGCAACGCCGGTGGCTGCGGATTAGGGGGACCACTGAGATACCCGAACTCCATTATTCTGTGGCTGCGCTGCAATAAGGTACGCTCGACGTGCATGGCCGCGGCATTTCTTTCGATAGATTAGACCTCGATACGTCGGCGATCGATATTACCTTACCGTCACGGGCAGAACGTATGATGTATTATCGAAATAACGACGGGACTCTGTTGCCCTCTGTTTGTTGGGCTTACCCATCGCGCTTCTCAGACCATTACTTGTCGCAATTTGTCTCTGCCAGTATATTTTATTGCTTTTCGATTCGTCTTCCCTTTGAGGGTAAATTTCACAATGGGCGTTTAGACAAAATAGCCGTAACACTTGGTAAATAAAAAGGACGAATTAACGTGTATTGATTTTCGTGCATAATATTACATTAATAGGTGACATAGAAACCTAGAGACGCTGTTTCGCATTTATACGGACAGGTAAAAAAATGTTATCTGAAAATAATTTTGTTGGAAACTCAAAAATGGTAGGCATTGCTGTAAAACGTTTTGATATAATTTTCAACAAAATTATTTTGATCCAACAGGAATTATTTTCAGATCTGTATCCACACGGAAAAAAACGATTTTACTGGATAACAGAAAATAATTTTTGATGGACAATCAAAATAATTTTGTTGAAAGGTCAAACTAATTACTAGAATATCAAAATAATTTTATCGGAAAGTTAAAAATACTTATAATTTTTAATTTTCTAACAAAATTATCAAAAACAATTATTTTGACGGTCCAACAAGAATTAGTTTCAGATCTGTATCCAGCAAAATTTTTAGATCTCCCAATAATATCGTTCTTTCTGTGTGGTTTAACATGTTTTATGATCCCATGAAGAAAATAGTGTCTAGATCTCTCTGTGTCATCTTAAAATAAAATTATGCACGAAAATCAATACATCAGTTAATCTTTTCCCTTTGAAACATTGAAACATTTAACATATTTCATGATCCCACATGTTAAATTAGTAAATGTTTCATTAACTTCTTTAACATTTACATTACTAGTCTAACATATTTCACGATCCCATATGTTAAATTAATAAATGTTTTATTTACATTAGTTTAACATTTACGTTAGATTCTTCTTTTGTGTAAATTTGCAATCGAATCATTCAATTTGAATGTCGTTCGAAAACCGTAATCGTTACCAACTTAATTATCACCTTTTAGCGACTTTTATATCTTGCGTAAAACACATTTCCTTTTTTTATGAGAATCTCTTGTGAAACATTATCACTGATTTTTATTAGAAACTATAAAATCGTCTCATCAACCTAATAAAAGTAGACATTTTAATTCGTAATAATTATATTTTTCGTATCTTCAGAGGTACCTGCTATCTCCAGATTATCTTCATAATAAAGAATCTGTCATTTAAATTTTGACAATTTAAAACATGCACGCATAAAATTTCTGATTTTTAAACGTGGGACACGAATTAATGTAACCGAATAAATAATCTTTCGCTCGATTTAAGCAAAAAAAAAAGAAAAAAAAAGACGTTCGCGTAATCACTGTTGACCATAAAACACTATCGCGTCGTGCGTAGTTAAAGTTTATTGTGCCCGGTACGAGGTTCGCTTTATCGACGTTCCAGAAGCGTCGCGCTAATCGACGGCGCCCATATTCCAAGCGCGGTCGCGTCGTGACAAATGTTTTATTTTAACAGGCGCGATAGAAAAAACCCGAAGGACAGAGAATTATCGCCGTTCACTATACATACGGCGGAAACGCGTGCGCGCGCGGGAGCGCGCATCGGTCATTTGTCCATTGAGATTACCATTTGACGGCGGCTCATTTTTATCTATATACGATTCGTCACCGCGACTTGCTCTCGCATACTCTGCCTCTGCGGGGTTAAGGACGAGACCGCGGCGGCCGTTTTCGACTCTGGAGATCTCATGAGACTGAGGAGGAATAACTGTATCGAGCGCTCTCTCAGCAGTGGCGCGCTGCCCGGTTTCCTTGATAAACGATAAAAGCCTTATCGCCTTCGTATGCGCGGCCCGGTCTGGTTTATCGTCGTCTCGCCGATAGGCCGGGATAATCGATGTGGTGCCCGGCTTTCGAGCGCCGCGGAGATACTTCGTTCCGTCTACTCCCGCCCGGGGAAAGAAATCGGCTATCCCAAGGCTTCTCGTGACGGAGATCACAGAAAATATCGCTCGGCCAAGCTAATCCGAGCAATCTGAGGGAGGGAGAGAGAAGATATTAAGTAAGATCAAAAGTGTAAAATAAAAGATCTCTCCCGGTCAGTAACGAGGATTATTTATAATATGGCCGTATAGCGAACGTATAAGGTAAAGAAAAAGAAAAAGACAGAAGGCAAAAATTATGTGTAGAAAGTAGGCAGATTATACGCGAACGTTCCTATTAATTATGATTTCGTGCAACACACATCTCTCTCATTTTACGGCGCTGTATCTACCTCTCCGTTCAGACCGTTTCCCAGAATTACAGTCTTGTCAAAGTGTTTCTTTCGCCGTTTCGCAAACGAGATATTAAGTCATGCGTGCTTTGAACAAATGACAACTCGCGAAAAAATACAGGTTTATCGCGGGACGATAATACTGATTGCACTGTGTGCAAATTTATTGGATCTAACGTATAATCAGCGGCGAATTCGGACAAAAACTTCGAGGCTACGGGGTGTTACTTCATCGGAAACTGTTTGTGTACCGAAGTGTGGCTTTTTAAACGCGGTAGAGAGCGGAAGTGTCGATCGGCCAGCCACCGCACCGTCGCGAGAGCTATCATTTCCCCAATGGCGCTTTCCGCATTATTAATTTATCCGCGGTTCTGCTACACCGGCTCGCTGCTCGTAAATAGGAAAGCAAATTAGGAAATACTTTCCGACAATAAATACCGGCCTCGAAACTGAACTGCAAGAGATATCTTATTTCGACGGTTGCCGGACCGGTTGTTGCTTTGACAGAAATTCCCGCTCCGTAGAAACATAATATAAATATAAATACAATGTACGATATGTATTACGAAGATTTTTATCAATTAGTACACGGAAAGAATACTAAGAACACTTTTGCTGAATCCAGATCTGAAAATAATTTTTGTTTGATAATCAAAATAATTTTGCGCGAAAATCAAAATGACTGCTGGAATATCAAAACGTTTTATAGCAATGTTTATCAGTTGTAACATTCCAATAAATTATTTTGATGATTTAATGAAAAAATTGTTTTCAGATCTGTTTTTAGCAAAATTGTTAAACCTTTCAACAAAATCATTCTTTCCGTGCGCTTTCTCTGATTAATGTGCGCGCATATTTTAAAAATATTCCCTCGACTTACGTAACAGGAAAATCTTGATCGTTATTGTGCATTATTTATTCTCTCACGGTCAAACTCGGCTCTCTTTTTTTTATAGTTTTTTACGTAATGCAAAAGGCACGAGAGAGATTCCCCCTCGGATGCATACGACCGAGTCCGCAGTTAAACTACCGAATTTACGGGAAGATTTACGCGACACGTTTCGGGGCCTTAATTAATCCAAGGAATCGATTAACCTTCGTTCCGACGCTCGTGCGCCGGAGACTCGCCGTCGTAAAAGTAAAAGCGCACGAGCGTAGGCCGGGTGTGTATGCTAATACCCACCGGCCGTTACCAGCCGCGATGTCAAAAATCGCGAGGCCGCGTCTGACACAAATACCGACGTCCGGCGCGGTCGAGACCACGCGGCCGGGTATCCTAGATACCGCGGGGACCGGTGGTGCCCAGGCGCGATTTCGAAATCGGAAGTCGGTCCCTCGGCAACCTTGCCTGCACCGTACTTAACGGCCGTTTGAGAATTTCTTTAGCCTTACCGCAGATCTGTGCGGTCTAAAGACTTTCCCCCGAGAGCGGCGGCGTTAAGTAACGGCGGCGTTCACGAGTAAGGTCCCGTTCACACCATTTATTTCTCAATCAGGTGTGCTGTGTTATTGTAAACGTGCTCGGAAATGAATGAAGTTATAGTATATTTCGAAGTACATTCTAGTATAGTCATTTAACACCGCTTCACCTGCGATTTCATCATACTTTTCTATCTGGATGGCAATAATAATAGATATCTACGTTTAATAAAATATGCCATTTAAAATTATTGAAGTCTTCTTAAAGTATAATTAAATCCTTTTTTTAATGAATAATTCGCAGATAAATACTTCAATTCAATTTTAACTAAAATGATAAACGTAAATTTAAAAAATCTAGATATGTTAGACAAATTGTGTTTAGCTGAAATGATAGCTGTTGTATTAAATAGTATAATTAAATCCTAATCTACTTTAATCTAAAACCTAATATAATTTAATCTTAGAGAATTCTAATTTAATTCTTAAGCTATTCTATAAATCTAAAAACTCTTAATTCAAAATTACATTTTTAAGAAAAAAATGATTTTGTTGAAAGGGCAAAAATTTGGATCTGAAAATAATTTTGTTGAAAACTCACAAAAATGACAAGCATTGCTATAAAACGTTCTAATATTCTAACGATCAGTTTGACTTTCCAAAACAAAATTATTTTGATGCAACAAGATGATCCAACAAGAATTATTTAATTAGATCTATATCCTGCAAAATTTTTAGGCCTTTCAGCAAAATCGTTCCTTCCGTGTAAATGAATCCATGAAAAGAGAAAAGCGAAACAGAGTGGCAGAGATAGAGATAGAGATGACAGTGTGAGAGAGGCTTAATGTAGCCTCGTACGTCACCGTTTTGTGCATGGATCACTGGCTGCGTTTCGCGAGCAGCCGCAGCTGGAATGCCAGATTTTTCCGCCGTGTGTTGCAAATACCTCCCTCCCCTGCCTATCCTTTCCACCGATCCTTCGCAACCACTTGCGCACTACGCGAGCGTGTATACGAACGCATACAGCGTCGCGCGGACGAACTTCCGCCCCTTCTCCATCCCGGGCGCTCGGGAGAGTGAGAGGCGATACGATTTGCTTTTCCCGTTATCGGCTGCAACCGCCACCTTTGATGGAGTGGATCGATTAAGTTCTCTCGCGTGATCGAGGATCTCGGTGCTCAGGACTAGTTACGAAGTTGCGAAAGAATGAGCGATTCCGGACGGTACAACAACCATTCCGAGATTCTGCGATACGCGCGCGCATGTAAAATGGAACGTATTAAGAGGACGTGAATAGGAGTGGCTGAAAAATGAGATGACATAAGTATAAGGATAGTGGGAGAGACATCGGTAAGAACGGAAAGAACGATTTTGTTGAAAGATCTAAAAATTTTACTAAAGACAGATCTGAAATATATAATATATATAATTTTTTGTTGAACCATCAAAATAGTTTGTTGGAATGTTAAAACTGCATTGCTGTAAAACGTTTGGATATTCTAGCAATCACTTGGACTTTCGCACAAAATTATTTTAATTATTGAACAAAAATTATTTTCAGATCTGAATTTAGCAAAATTGTTCTTTCCGTGTAGAAATTACATCGAAGTGG